ATAATAATGATTAATGATTATGCTCCCATATTTCTTCTTCTTTTCTGTCTCTATCTCTCTCTCAGTCTCTTTCTTTCTGTTTCTGTTTCTTTGTCCCCCCCACCCTGTGTCTCTGTCTCTGTATCTCTGTGTCTCTGTCACTGTCTCTTTCTGTGTCTCTGTCTCTCTCCCTCTCTCTCTCTCTGATCCTGGAAATTGAAATTCAGGGCCTTTCTTTTTGAGCCATGTACACTCCCCCCCGCCATTTTTGTTGGATGCATTGTATTCTTCCACTGTATTGTCCCATTGTATTCCTCTAGTCTACTGGGGTTCACCTAAGATCTTAAAGTTGGAAAGTTCTGTTTCCATTTATAAAGGTACACATGATAAAAACAACAACAATGCACTAGAGATTGACTCCTGCCCTCTACACAGCTATCTCTCTTCCAGAGGAAGAGCTACAGTCTTCTGCTCTGCATGGAGAACATGATTTGCCCTCACACCAGCCCCTCTTGACTGCATTTTCTCTGAGTACAATCTTTTCACATCATGCCAATCAATTTGGCACAAACTAAACTGGTAGATTCCTGGAACTGTTGATTCTGTCCAGGAAGTCCCCACCAGTTATAGAAGCCAGAAGAATCGCCATCAATTTTTAAATTGGAGTGGAAAACCCCAACCAGCTGATGCCAAACCCCAGCAAGCCCAGGATAGCACAGCAAGACCCTGGGGACTCTGAGAGAGTAAGCTCTGCAGCCTCACATCAGAACCTCCTCAAGAGTGACTCATGGGTCACAACTGCAACTTTGAAGGCCACTTATTACATTTGGATCCCACTCATTGTCTTTTAGCTAAGTTGGACAGTATATGTAATTGAATCATGGAGCTCAAAAAATAATGATAATTGTGAATGGCAAGGCTCTGGATGTCACCACCAGACTTGAATGAACTCATCCCACATCTTGCTCTGATTTCTACACAAAGCAATGAAAACACAAAGCCTCCCAAACATTAATGCTCACACAGGGAAGCTGCTAATTTCCTCTATCGGTGAAGAAACCTGATTGGAATTACTCAATGGAAAAAGTATTGGTTGATGGAAAGGGTAGGTCGTACAATTAAAAAAATTAGAGCATCTATCCTATTTCAGTGTAATTCAGGGTATAATTTGTTGTGGTGGTGTTGCTGGGAGATTATTTGTTTATGTGCTGGCCCTGGGGCTTGGACTCGGGGCCTCACATCCTTGCTTGGCTTTTAGGCTTTCTTGGGCTCTACCTCTTGAGCCACAACTCCACTTTGCAATGTTTTGCTGGTTCGTTGGAGGTAAAAGTCTCATGAATTTTCCTGCCTAGACTGAGTAGCGAGGATTTTACCAACGTGAGCCGCTGGTGCCCAGCTAAACTTTCCTCCTTTCTTCTGGTAAACGTGGCCCCAGGAGAACTGCTAACAGCTGTGGCTGCACTGAGAATCTGGGTGAAGAACTCAGAACAGTTCTAGTGCAAAGGTGGGTGGCTGTTTGGAAGGCAGAGAGACAAGGGGGAGCAGCTTTCTCTGGAGCATAACTCCAAGAAAGCGCTACCACCTTGCTTTTCCTTCTCTAGTCATGGATCTCTTCAAGAACTTTGGTGAATGCGGATGCTCTGGCTCCCCCAATCACCGACAATGTACACAACTTGAATTAGATGTTAAGCCCTCAAACAAGTAGGACACAGCCATAGTTTCATGATGGTGCCTTTCCTAAAAGAAAACAGTGATGGAATTAGTACTTGTTAATTGCCTATAGTCCTAGTTGTACTAGTAAGTAGTAATACTCATTGCTGAATTCAAGTTGTATTTAGAGCCACACTTTAAACATGATGTCTAACTCAAATTTCCCAATGATATATTTATCAGTGGAACATTTCATAAATACTTCCTGATTATGAAAATTTTACTTGTAAGGTATATTGAGGGAGAAGAAAATTAGTTTTACATTCCTTCACTAAAAGTTTGCTCAGAGAACTCTGGGAAAGGGAGTACATGGCGTGACTCAAAAAAAAGAGGGTTCAGCCTAGACCTTGCCCTTAGAGTTTCATGAGCCAGAGGTATATAGCTCAGTGCTAGAGCACTTGCTTAACATTTATGAGCCACACACTTGTCTCCCAAGTCAGGAAATCCCTGATATTTCTCTACAACTCAGTTGTCTGTCTAAGGTACTTTCTAAGGTGATTTTTCTGATTTGAAAACTACTACATTTCACACACCTTCTACAGAGTTCAAGCATAACATGAAATGTTACCTGCAAAATAATTTAATGTTATGTCTGTGCTACTATGCTAAACGTCACTCAAAATAAGTTACCTCCTAAAAATGTCTTTTAACTTGGGTGCCAGTAGATCACACCTGCAATCCTAACTACTCAAGAGGGTGAAACCTGAGGATTGTGGTTCAAAGCCAGTCTGGGCAGAAAAGTCTGTGAGACTTTTATGTCCAATTAAGCATCAAAGAAGCTAGAAGTGGAGCTGTGGCTCAAGTGGTAGAGTGCTAGCTTTGAGTAACAAAGCTCAGTGACAGCACCCTGGCCCTGAGTTCAAGCTCCTGGACCAACACACACACACACACACACACACACACACACACACACACACACACACAATAAATGTTTTAAAAGCTGAGTCTCCTCCTGAGCATCTACAGTTATCACTTCTATTTCCATCTTCATTACTGTGCCCATCTGCTTCTCATGAGGATAACATTGGCTTCTGTTTTCATCTTCAGTTTGCCTCTCTCTTGGGTGAGACCCGACAATGCCCTTTTCCTGTGAGCTCCTTCAGCACTTTATCATCACAGAATTCAGATTTTTTTCCCCAGCATTTGCAGCAAGTTCATTGTCTTGCATTATTAATATACAATTAAGTGTCATAAAGCTATTAGGGAGTAAAAAAAGTGCTACAGAAGTACTGAAGTGGATGGATTTATTTCATTTAGGATGATCAGGAAAGCAAGAGGGAAGATAATTTTGGGCAAAGGGCAGGATAGGGTAAGGGTTTTGTGTGATGTAGTGATGAATAGGGAAAATCAATGATAATGTTGGGCTTTCAAGCCTAGATCAATGAAAATTGGTTAAATAAACAGACTTCTGGTTTAACAGTGATATGATTGCCATGTATAATCTGAGCGGGACACAAAAGATGTTGATATTTTTATTAAAAGGTGCCTGTGGACAAATAATGTAGACAAGCCAGGCAGTTCTCTGAGGTCAGTGGAAAGTTTATGGGTTAGACATAAGTACCCTACATTCTCATATTCTCTCTCTCTCTCTCTCTCTCTCTCTCTCTCACACACACACACACACACACACACATCCCTCTCCTGGTACTAGGGCTTAAACCCACTGTCTCATGTTTCCTCTCTGCTTGCTTGCTCAAGACTGGCACTATACCACTGGAGACATGCTGCCAGTCCAGCTTTTTGCTGGTTAATAGAGACTTTCTGTCCTAGGTGGCTTCTAATTTGAACCCCCATGATCTCAGCCTCCTGAATAATTAGGATTACAGGCATGGGCTACTACCAACTGGCTATCTCATGTGGTCATTACTGTTGACTTTGATTGTAACAAGTCTAGAGTAATTCCTAAAGTACTTTTCAGGGACTATAAATTATTATACCTATGAACCCAAAGAAGCTGAGGCTCAAGCTTAATGATTTGATCAACTCAACAGGAGAGCTTTAGGTCAAGCTCATGTTTTTTTCACTACAAATTTAGGCCTTCTTCTTCTTCTTCCCCTCCACCCCCTCCCTCCCCCCCCAGGGCTGAGGACCAAACCCAGGGCCTTGCATGCGCCAGGCAGGCGCCCTTCCGCTGGGCTAAACCCCCAGCCCCTAGGCCTTCTTCTTATTCTTCTAATTGCTAACATTTCTCAGTCATGGGGCCTGGGTGCTGTCCCTGAGTTCTTTTGCTCAAGACTACCAATTTGAGCCACTGGGCCACTTGGAGTTTTCAGGTGGTTCATCGGAGATAAGAGTCTCACGACTTTCCTGTTAGGGCTGGCTTTGAACTGCTATTCTCAGGTCTCAGCCTCCTGAGTAGCTAGGATTACAGGCGTGAGCCACCAGCTCCTGGCTTCTTATTTATTCCATAGCATGAAGCAAGCTGGAAAGAGCAAACGGACATTGAGATAAGCCATGTGTTTAAAGGGGGAAGAGGAGGAAGTGAGCCAATGTCATCCTTTGCTTCCCTGATAGAACCACATAGGTTGTAGGAGATATTTGGAACGTTCACTTTGAGGTGGACCTGGCATTCCCAGAAGGCACAAAGCTAAATTTAATTGCACATTGGTAGATTTTCCGTGTTACAAGGTGAGGAGTGCACGCGGGAACAGAAAAGGGACACAGGGATGGATTCGAAGAAGGTATAAGTTGTGGCACGACCCACCTGGACAAACCCAGGTTCTCTCAGTGAGGAATCCAGGGGTGAGCTGGGACGTCTTTCCCCTCGGTGTCAGGAAAGCCCAGATCTCCTGGCTCTTGGCATTTGTAAGTGGGGTTCCCCTGGTCTTTTCCCATGCATCTGGGAGCTCCCCTCTTTTGACCTCTCTCCTCTCTCCATCCTTTCTTCTCTCCGGCCAGCGGAAAGGGATGCTCGCCGCCGCCGGAGCGATCGCGCTCCCAGTCCGGCGCGCCCACCCCGTGGCCCGCCTTGCCTGGCAGGGAGAGGCCGCTTGGAGCTGGGCGGTGCGCCAGGAGCGGCCCGGGGCGGGGGAGACGCGGGGACCCGAGCCCGAGGGCGCAGCCTAACGGTCCCGCGCCCCGCCCGGTGGCGCCGCCGCTGCTTCCCGTCCGCCCCCTGCGTCATGACGCCGGCGCCCCAACGCGGAAGCCGCTGGCGGCGCGCCTGGTCCAGCCGCGGGCTGAGCGAGGAGCCGCGGGGCTGGAACGCGGAGAGCCGGGCCGGGCGCGAGCCGAGCGCGAGCCGAGCGCAGCCTCCAGCCCCAGCCGGACGGATCGGGCGGAGCGAGCGCAGCGGGGCCGAGCGCGCGGGCGGCGGCGGCGGGCGGAGCGGAGCGGGGCACGGTGCGCCCAGGCTGCTGCCGGGGAGGGGATGCGGCTGCTTCCCCCGGCCGGTGTGTAGGGAGGGCGGGTCCCGGGCCTCGGGAGCGCGGCGGTGGAGGGCACGGAGGCGGCGGCCATGGCGACCCCTGGGAACCTGGGGTCTGTCCTAGCGAGCAAGACCAAGACCAAGAAGAAGCACTTCGTAGCGCAGAAAGTGAAGCTGTTTCGGGCCAGCGACCCGCTGCTCAGCGTCCTGATGTGGGGGGTCAACCACTCGGTAAGGGCTCGGCTGCGGCGCGCGGTCCCCTTCCTCCTCCTCCACCGCCTCTTCATCTTCCTCTCCTTCCTCTTGGTCTTCTTTGCTCCCCTCCTCTGGCTGCAGCTGTTGCGGCGCGGGGAGCCAAAAGGGCTGGCTCGGCGGGTCCCGGGCCCTCCGCGGTTGCCCGCCCGCCGCGGTACCCTTCAAGCCCGACGATGTGCGCCCCTCACCCCTCCGGGCCACCCGGGGCCACTTGCACCCCCTTTGGAACGGAGAGCCGGGTGCGGATGAGGGGGTTCCCTTTGCATCTGAGCACTGAGATCGGGGCCCGTGGCGTCCTCCACCCGTCCACGGTGCTCGCCCGGGGAAGTGGGAAGTTTGTGTGTGGGGCGCGGCGCCGTCCTCAGCTGTCAGTCCTCCTAGCGAGGGGCTGTTTGGGGGTCGCCTCTAGACGATCGCCTCACCTCTGTGGGGGTGGGGGAAAGGTGGACTTCCCCGAGTCCTCAGTCCCAGGGTAGGGGTACCTGTCCCCGGCTGGGAGGACAGAGGTAAGGCTACTGGACAGCCCTCAGCTTTAGCGCTAAGGTTCCCCCCCCTCCCCATTTCTTCCTTCCTTTAAAGGCAATATTGTCGGATATAGAAGGGGTTTGGGGCCCAAAGAAGCCGATGTAAATATGGCAGTGGTGTTGAGTATCTTGTCTGCGCCTCTCCCGCATCGCCCAGCTGCGGTGCGGGGCTGAAGAGCGCTTGGCGGGGAGTCTTCCTTCTCCACACCTCCTCCTCCCCCTCCTTCCTCGGGGAGCCGGGCCGAAGTCGTCCACTGCAGTTGGGCGGCTGGGGCGGGCACGGGCTGGAGGGGGTCCCGGCGGGAATGTGGTCCGGAGTTGGTTGCATCGGTTCTGGGGGTTGTTTGGAAGGCTAGGCAGGGGAGGATGCTTTGGAAAGGTTAACTCCACGCACCGCCAGGAGTGATGGAGGATGCGCCGCTGCGGGCTATGCGGACTGCGGTGCGAGGGGCTGAAATAGCCTCTTGCTGGTACAGCAAACTCCTGCAGCGTTCATCTCATTTAGATAGGGTAGAGAAACCTGAGCCGAGCTGTTGGCTGAGCCAGGAAAGTTTCAATGAGCTTAGGGAAGGTTGACCTTACCCACTGCAGTGGGTTCACATCGGACAAAGACTGTAAGCCTGCGTTCCTTGCTTCTAATTTTTTTTGGGGGGGCCTGGGGGAGTGTATCATTTTCTACACTTTGGAAATTTGTTTGAAAACCATGTTGCCACCCCTCCCCCCCAACTCTCAGAGTTGGGAAAAGGGTGAAACGATGGATAGCAGAGTTTGCTAGAGTGGGTTTGCATAGAGTGACATTAAAAATAAGAGCTGATAAATGATTGTTTTCTGTCAGTTTAATGTCCGGAGTTCGTTTACCTTCCTGACACTTTGTTTAGCTATTAGGAATGAGCACAATTAAAATAGCTCAAGTGATTGTATTCTACCCTAGAATGAAATGAATTTTTTTCCTTACATAATCAGTCTAATTAAAATATCTAATTTTGTTGTGTGCTTGTGTTGTTTAAGTTGCTAGTTGCAAGTACTAGAAAAAGTACTAGTACTAGAAAAAGATCTTATGATAAAAGCAGGACTCCTGCGTTGTCCATATTCGTGAATCTTTTATCTCCATCTCCTTTGGTGTTCTGTTTAGGTCGTGAGTGTTTGTGTCTTGGAGTTTAAGAAAGTAATGTCAACAACATGTTGCTGGAAAAGAAAAAAAAACCACAACAACCTTGCTTTCAGAAAATTAGTGTGAGTTCCAGTTTACTTTAGAAAATTCTTATAATTGAACTGTGCTTTGCTGTAGCAGTTTATGTTGCTACCGTATATTTGAGTTGCTACTTTTCTTATCTTTCTTTTTTTTCCCCATTTTTTTGCCCAGTCCTTAATTCAGGGTTTACTTTCTTGCTCATGGCTGGTGCTCTGCCACTTGAGTTTCCAGTCTTATTTTCTACTGGTTAATCAGAGATTGTCTTTATTTCACCATGCTGGCTTTGAACGTAGATCCTCTGGATGTCAGCCTCCTGATTTTCTAGGATTACAATCATGAGTCCATCAGTACTGGGCTGCTACATTTGTGTTTTTGAGTTTCTTTGTAATTGAAAATATTTGAAACTACTTAAGGCTTATTAAAAAAACGTACATTTAGTGTTACTTTCTTTCCCTAGTAAGAAAAGTTAACAGTTCTAAGTAGCAGCAGCTAGAGGTGTGAAATTTCCATGGTGTATAAGGTAAATGTGTTGTTTGCTCAGCAGATGGGACACATACAGTGCCAGTCACTGTGAGAAAGAAGATTGCTAAACTGCTCTCATATTTTTGTCCAGGTATCTTTATTTCCAGGCTCTGGTTTGATCAGGAAAGTTCTATTTCACCGACTTCATTTTCAAGATGTATAAAATTTTGATCTATTATTATGATTATTGTTATTGAAGGAAGGTAGAGGTATATATGAAGATGGAATCCAAGCACGTGGATACCACGTATTTCTACTTGGCTTTATTTTAGGAAGCAACATCTGGTAACAAGCAGATGTTCTATTGTGACCTTCTGTATGCCACACTTTATAGTATAATGTGAGAATAAATATGTCTGCAGTATTAAGAATGAGTAAGCATATGAATGGAGACATTTGGGGGAGCAGAGCAGAGAAGGTAATTCTAATCAATCTATTCCCTACTATTGTCATCAGGATTAATGGGGAAAGACTCTGTGAGCACATGGGCATCTTTTCCATGCTATGGTTAAAAAGCTCGAGGGGTCTGTGCTCTAATTCTTTCTTTAATGCTAGCTACTCACTTTGGAATATGAGCCAGGTTTTGCACCCATGTTTATATGTGTGAAGTGAGGTTGTTGAACTGGATGATTTCCAAGTTTTGAGTTTTTTTTTTTAACTTCAGGATTCAATTGTTTTTCCAGTTTACTGGATGCTGGCATTATATTAAAAGCCATAAAAATAAACAGTGGGGTATAATATATGTTTCATTGCTATTATAACCTCCCAAGTACAGCAATATTCAATGAATTTTCAAAGCCTTGACAAGAAGAGAAGGAAATCTAGAGTTTGCCAGATTGATTGTAGCTGAACTGCATTGTAGTCTATTAAGTCAAAGTATATTTGATTGAGATGTAAAAACTTGCAATTAAGGTAAAAATGTTCAAGTCCATTGTTAGTGGTAATGAAAGTCTGGATTCCGGCAATGTTCAAAGTGGAGAATAAGCCTGCCTTTGTGTGGTTGATTTGATATCTCACTGCTTTCTAACTTAAAATACCCATCAGTGAATGGATCCGCGCCAATTTTTATTTTAAGTATTTTAAGCAGGGAATATAATTGAACACATAAAGGAGGAGATGACTTAAGAAGGCAGTTTTATCTTGTTATGTTTGGAATTAAACTAAAAATGATCAGGCAGTTAGCTTCTTAAAATGATATCTTAATAGTGTAGGGAACATATTGAATGATATGAGCCAGGACTTGTTTTAAATACTTATTCTATTAGATCCTTGTACACTGTGAAGTGTGAGCTGGTTGGAAATTAGCATTTAAAACTCTGTTTAAATGTCCAAAGGAAGACATTTCATTTTCTGTATAGAGAAATTATAAGGGGCATACATCTTGTTTAAAGTAAACAGTATTTTTTATTTTTATTTTTGGTCATGGGGCTTGAACTCTGGGTTTGGGCGCTGTCCCTCAGCTCTTCAGCTCAAGTCGAGCGCTCTACCACTTGAGCTACAGCTCCACTTCCGGTTTTCTAGTGGTTTATTGGAGATAAGAGTTTCACGGACTTTTCTGCCCGGGCTGGCTTTGAACCGAGATCCTCAGATCTCAGCCTCCTGAGAGCTAGGATTACAGGCCTGAGCCAATGGTGCCCAGCTAAAGTAAACAGTATTTAAGATGGGTGCTAGTTGCTCAGTAAACAGTATTTAAGACGGGTGCTAGTAGCTCAGTAAACAGTATTTAAGACGGGTGCTAGTAGCTCGTGCCAGTAATCCTAGCTAATCAGGAGGCTGAGAACTGAGTCAGCCTGGGAAGGAAAGTCTGTCAGTCTCTTACCTCCAATTAACCACCAAAAAGCCAGAAGTAGAGCTGTGGCTCAAATGGTAGAGCACTAGCCTTGAGCACAAAAGTTCAGAGGCAGGGCCCAAGCCCTGAGTTCAAGCCCCAAGATTGGCACAAACAAGCAAAGAAACACAAAAGCAAATAGTACTTAGAAATAGCCAAGTGATTAATGCTAGACTTTTTTAGTATCAAGCTATACAATTCAAAAAGGCTTCAGCCAAAAAAAAAAAAGTGTCTGTTAGGAGGATTTAAGAATGGAAGGGAAGATGGGTAGGAGGACTTAAGAATGGAAGGGAAGATGGGTAACCAAACCATAGGGACTCCTCGTTCATTTTTACTTTGTTTTTCTTTGTAGCTGACTGGTTTTCTGCACAGGACAGGGAACTTAATGGTTCTAAACTTCACATTTTGCCATTTCTCTTCCCCTGAAAGACTTTCTGTCTCCAACTCAGTTATAAAAATGCCGTAGAAGGTTTATGAACGGTCTGACTTTGGTCACTTGAAGGCTTTGTTGGTAACATGGCAGATCCCCAAGGGCAGAGGCCCCCAAAGAAAAGCAAGGGCCTGGGCTGGCAGTGTCAGTTATCTCCCCAATAATAGAACTGGTGATGTTTGGTCATGGGGCTTGAACTCAGGGCCTGGGCGCTGTCCCTCAGCTCTTTTGCTCAAGGCTAGTGCTCTGCCACTTTAGGGTTTTTGAGTGGTTAATTGGAGATAAGAGTCTCACAGGGACTTTTCTGCTTGGACTGGCTTCAGAACGGTGATCCTCAGTTCTCAGCCTCCTCACCAGCTAGGATTATGAGTATGAGCCACTGGCGCAGCAGATGTTTATCTTTTATAGTGTCTGTGGGTCCTGACTGTGGAGATCTGTGAGGGCCTGCCTGACAACAGTGTGGATTGACCAGTGGGCATT